ACTCTTTGCCGAGACAATGTGATGATTATGACTAACCAATGTTACAATATTTGGTTCGCGGCAAAGAGAAGAGAAAAGAAGGTGAAGTGAGGTTCCAAAGGCAGTGTCTCAAGCACGCTCGAAATCATGAGCATTAATGGGCATTGATTGGATGAATTTTAATGCTTTGATTATTTATCCACCAAGTGCTCGATCAAATTCTCAAACCACATGAACTTTGTTTTTATGAACATATGAATGTCAATTGAACTTAAATGTCAATTTTGTAGAGGCGTTTTCCCGAATTTTGATTGATTGACTTATGGTGTATGCCTCCTTTTCTCACCTAAGTTTATCAATTCGATACGATTTTGAGCAATCGATTCATACACATATCTTGGTCATGTAGGTTGTTTCTTGCCTTTGGGCACGATATCGAAGAACCTAAATTAATATGTTGTCATTAGAACCAATCTTTCAAGACAATTAATTAACCAACATTGTTTTTCACCTATGCATCCTTGTGTTTGATTACACTCAAATTATAGTGTTTATCACTCCCATGTTTGATACACTTTCCCCTTCTATCAATGCATCTTTAGTATATTTTTTTATATTTTAGGTGAAAATTATAACTATTTGATTAATGTGATTATAACAACATAAGATGTGTTTTAGTATCATTTTATGCTATTGTTATTTTTTGTTTTCAAGGTCAAACAGAGTCTAAGATGATTTGGATCATCAATTGGATCAAGTTGGAGTACCAAGAAGGACAATTACTAGAAGATCAAGGTGGTTCTACTGTAAACGAAGCCAAATGGCGGGGAAGTCTTCAAGAAGTCGTCCTGTAAGCCCATCATGAGTCCCCAAGAGAAATTTCAGCCCAAGCCTCCATCGAAACCCATGTTGGGCTTTGCGATGGTGCCAACCGCCGCTGGGCTAAACCCATCACGTTGTGCGGAAAATCCATGGGGAGGTTACTTGTGGGCCAAACAAGCAAAATCTAGAGGAAAACCCTCAAAATCCCCGAATATCGCTCGACCGCCGTAAGCCCAAGCCCATGGAAGCTTTGGGAATATTCCTTTCTTCATTCCAAGAATAAGAAATCTGAGTCCCATAGGTATCAGGACACCTTGGTCGTGATTTAGGAGAAACCTACCTATATTTTCCTTCCACTATAAATAGAGGGTCAGCTTATGGAATTTAGTAGGCTGCAAAACATTACTAAAAATACCCTCTATTACTCGATCAAGGAGTTACCCGGCTCAAGGGAGTCAAATTAGCATTCATATGAGGGTGTAACTAAGGAGATGTCTTCATCGTCGATGATGGTACCATCCTTCTCTCTTATGTATTGTTAGTTCAATTTTGTTGTTAAAGATGTGAATTCTATTGATGCATTTGCATCTTCTTCTTATGCATTATGTGATGCTTTGGTAATGGTTGGGACCTCCTACCGTAACTTGGGTATAATTCAAGTTAGGTAATTTGTATAGATCTAAATCGTTAAAATCGATCAAACTTATTTTAAACCATTGATTAAAGAAATAAAAATAAAAAAATAAGTAAAAAATAATTGGCAACAAGGGGTTGTCTGTCACCACCTACTTAACTTACCTTTCTTTGTTTTTTTCTTTCCTTTTTTACATTTATTTGTTTTCCTTATTTTAATTAGAAGCGTTACGTAAGGCTTCCGTAATAACTTAGCACTTTACGTAACGTGAGGTTAATACTCATTACATAAAGAGACATTCCTTTACGTTAAGGTTACGAAACAATAGTTATTTCTTGCGTAACAGCGAAATCGGAAGCGTTACTTAAAACTTCCGTAATGACTTAGCTCTTTACGTAACACGACATTAATACTCATTACGTAAAGAGACCTTCCATTACGTAAGGTTTCCGTAATGACTGTTACGTAAAATACACATTCATTACGTAAAGGTTACGAAATGATAGTTATTTCTTATGTAACAATTAAATCGGAAGCGTTACGTAAGACTTTCGTAATGACTTAACACTTTACGTAACGCGAGGTTAATACTCATTACGTAAAAAGACCTTCCATTACGCAAATGTTACGTAATGACAGCTATTTCTTATGTAACAGTTAAATCAGTAGCGTTACGTAAGGCTTCCGTAATGACTTAACATTTTACGCAACGCGAGATTAATACTCATTACGTAAAGACACATTCTATTAAGTAAAGCTTCCATAATGATTTTTTACAGCTGTTACGTAAGATTGCCATATGTTACGTAACCATTACGTAATGCCTATTGTATCTTACTTAATGCGACCTGTAAAACCTGCTATCGCAAGTAAAAAAAATTCAAGTTACCTTACTTCAAGTTATTGTAGGAAATCCCGTAATTGTTTATCTATGTTACTCGATACTTATACCATTAGATGTCTTATTCATGTGATGGTAATGTTATTCGAATGTCCTAGCTTCATGATGCCCTAACAATTCGTTGCCTATATCATCTATTATGTGCTACTATAGTATTGTTTAGGGCTAATTCCACTAGCAAGCCCAAACTATTCAAAAAATGTCATTTGTGTCCTAAACTATTCAATATGACAAATCTGACACGAATTATTTTTCCGTTAATGTTGACCGGCATAGATTGTCAGTATTTAACCGAAAATCTAGTCAACATCTAAGTGGTTTGTGCCATATTTGTCATATTGAATAGTCTAGAACACAAATACCACGAACACACATATAATTCGTGCCAGATTTGTCATATTGAATAGTTTATGACACAAATGACACTTTTAGAATAGTTTGGGCTTTCAAGTGGAATTAGCCCTTTTGTTTGTAATATCATGTTAAGTTGTCAAGAAACTACTCTTATGTGATATGCCATTATCTTATGCATGTATGATGTGGAATGATCAACCATCCGTGCTTGACTATGTTAAATGTTTGATACCTTAGATCATCAATAATATATACCAATGTTATGGTTCTTAGAGAGTCACACTTAATAATGTGTTACTTTCTTGTTTGATTGATTACTCTAATGGCATGAAGCGAAAGCACTCAGTAGCTAGTTATTGTTCATTTTGCATGTGTCGGAAGTTCGATTAGGAATGCTTTAGTGGAAGGAATATGGTTGCATGATAAAAGATGCATCAATGCATGTCATTATGAATCATGATCATCTAGGATTAACTTTCTCATCAATTGCATATCCTTTACTTATCTTATTATTTAGTTTATGTTTAACTTTATGATGCATCTCGCAAATCACTAAACATAGGGAATCTTAACCCATCTATTTTTGTTGTGTCTTTGTTTGAGCATTAGATGATTGGTTGTGAGTCGTTATTATTAAACGACCTTGTGGAATACGATTCTAAACATGTTTAGGAATTTTATTACTTTGATTGTACATACCACTCGCACGCATCAAGTTTTTGGCGATTTAGTTTGTTTTTTCGATTTTCGTTTATAAATGTAGTTTCCACTAGAAGAGAAACATAAAACCAAAGATCGCGAATGAGATCATCAAGGAAGGAGGAGCATTGAGTTCATCCTTGTTGAGATAGAAAGAAGAAGCATCTAGCTTAGAAGAGGAAGTTGATCTCGAGTTGGAAGAAGGAAACTAGCAAAGGCTGCAACTTCCATCTTGAAGAAGAAGCATCCTTTGTAACATCTTCCACAATAGCCAGGATCAGGGAGGAGCAAAGAATGAGAATCCCACATACTCTATATGAGTATCAAGATCAAGAGCTTTCAAAATTACTTCGAGCATTGCTACACTATCAACAACCATGGATGTGAGGTTCACAAGAAGGAGTCATGATGATCCATGTAACATCTAAAGACGTTCTTGGAGATCATAGATTCCATTCTTGGAGATGAAGCCATCAAAGGTGCCATTTGATTGTGAGGGTTCCATTTTTCACCGATGAGAATGGCAAAAAAGTGGTTGGACTATCATCAGCCCTACACCTTCACCAATTTGAAGACCCTTTCACAAGCATTCATGGAGGGGTTCTTTCCACCTTGGCGTACAGAGGAGCCTAAAGATGATATTACTCAATTCCAACAATAGGAAGAAGAGACATTCTATGACGGTGTGAAGAGATTCCAAGAGCATCTAAAGGCGTGCCTCCATAATGTATTCACCCAAGAGAAAGTATCTAAGTACTTCTCCAGAGGTCTATTGAGATACCAAGATGATGGTGAAGCAGTCACCCGATGTAGATTCACACAAATGACGGAGTGAAATGCAGGAGAACTTCACCACACTTGTAAAAAAGTCAAGGAATTGATCCAAGGAATCAGTGATACAACCATTGGAAGAAGCCCAATGAAGCGAGGAAGTGAATATCATCTTGCATCAGCAAATGAAGGAGTTTTCTCAACAACTAAAGGATGCTAAGATGGAGCCACATAAGGGACTAGTAGCAACCTTGTTTCATGCGTGATGCATGCGGAGAAGAAGACCAAGATGATCAAGATTGATGAAACCTTGAAGGGAAATGGCACGATGATGTTAATTATGGGAATCAAGGTTACCAAAGGCCCATATTGGAGCTACAACCAACCCCATGTACCATATGGTTAATTACCAGCCCAAGGAGGAAGGAAGCCAAATGATTATCCGAAGACCACTTTAACAAACAACCACTATATTCATGATCAGCAATGGAGCAAAAAGTTCAATCGTCCGAATTTGGGAACCAGCCACAATATAACAAACAAAGAGGAGGTTCTTCATACCATCAACCCAATCATTTCAAGAAATTAGAAGCCACAATTCATGATTTGCAAGCGAGATTCAGAACATCTAACGTCAACTTTGTACAATTCAGTTCGGTGTGAAACGGATCATTGCCCACTTCTAATTACCGCTTCCAATCACTTATCATTCTCTTTTGTTGAACAAAGGGGAAAGGCTTAAAGTCTTATATACACCGGCCCGGCCCAAACTATTGCTATCCCAAATACATGGCCCAAAACGCGGCCCTTTCACTTCGGGGTTTCAATCTTCCCATCTGTAGTATAAATTGGCACTAGGGTTTCGAATCACATAGTTTCTCGTTTTCCTTCCTTTGGCAGCCGCAAGTAGCTTGAAGGTAAAACCCCTACTCCTCCATTCCTGTCGCTTGATCGTTCAATCAGCTCTTCGGATTTCTAACTCCGCAGCTTCTGTTGCTTTCTTTCTCCGGCAGGAAATGGCTCCCGCCGCGAAGAGTGGTTTGGCCGTCGGTCTGAACAAGGGGCACATAGTCACCAAGCGGGATTTGCCGCCCCGTCCATCTGACAGAAAGGGGGTACGTAGGCCTTTTCCCCCCATATATATCTGTCTGTTTCAATGCCGGAGTTCCATCGCTGTGCAGTTTTCACGTCCCATGGATTCTGATGATTTTTTTCCGCCTTTCTGATTGGTCGATTCTGTATTGAAACAGAAAACAAGCAAGAGGGTTCATTTGGTGAGGAACCTTATCAGGGAAGTTGCTGGATTCGCACCCTACGAGAAGAGGATCACTGAGCTTTTGAAGGTCGGTAAGGACAAGAGAGCGTTGAAGCTGGCCAAGAGAAAGCTCGGAACCCACAAGAGGGCCAAGAAGAAGAGAGAGGAGATGTCCACCGCACTCCGCAAGATGAGGTGAGCCTCCTACAGCTATTACCTATTTCTGTTGTATGGACTGTGTGTTGTCTCTAGCTAGCTGGTTAGGGTTTTGTATATCGTGAAGAATGTCCATCCTTTGCTGCTAATCTGATATATGCATGTTTGTTGGCCTCTACCCCTTGCTTAATTTAGGCATTGGTCTTTATGTTGGCTCCTTAATTGGTAGTGGTGTTCTAGGAGCAATACTAGCATATCGTGATTGTCCCTTTTCGGATATCTAAGGATTGGTACTTGGTATATCTTCTACTGGTTGTACTCAGCTGGGTACTAGCTAATTGCTGGATGGTAATAGGTGGTAGGGTTGTATTATTGTCATAAGATCTGAGTTTGGGGAAATTGCTCTACTGTGAATGTTACTGTAATTGTGACGAGCGATGACTGTAGTAATTGGTTACATTCTTGTTACTTTTGGGACTGTTGTTGTTTGGTCTGATAATAGATACTGGAAAGTTGATACTGATTTGTATTTTGTTGTTTGCAGGTCTGGGGGAGCAGGCGAAAAGAAGAAGTGAGGGGGATGGGCAGTGCTGTTTTGTCCTCTCCAGTATTTTGCTGTTATAAGTTTTGAAAACGTTGTTCCATTGAAGAGTAGTTTTAGTTTTATGGTTCTGATTGTTGACAGTAGAGCAATGTAATGCAAAGCAATGCAGTCCAGTATTTGGAGAACTTGATTCTTGTTCCGCAGAGTGTATGAATGTTTTTTTACTGGATCCTCTTTCCTGATGTTCTGATTTGTTCTCATGATTTGCTGTGCTCTAGTTTCTTCCTGGATCACAAGGATCCTGGAGATGTTAGTCTATTCCATATTAGTTTGAAAATTCATTTTGATATAGCTTAATTTGTTTGCCTGGTAAGGTGATCAATTCGAAGATTGGAACAGGGGAGAGTTACACTGACATGATTCAAGTGATGACATGGCCTCAAAATGTGGGTTATGATTTTGTAATTGTGGCAAATGAAAATCAGAGTTGTCGAAGTAGATGCATGAGAACAATTAGTATGGCTGATTGTACTAGGGCTGGTTTCTTCGTTTCTGCAAGAAAGAACTGATGGAGAGAGGAGAAGAAATGAAGGAAAGGTAGAAGAGGTTGGAAGGGTAGAGGAGAACGGTAGATTTCCCCTGCGGGAAGGAAAAATGGTGGAGTAAGGTGTTTGTTGTGATGGGGCTGTGGGAGGACTGAAGAGCCCAGACCTTGGTACAAATACCTTCATTTCCAAAATCTGAACCGCAAAACATTGACTAACTTCAGCGTCACGTTATGGATTGTATGGAGTATAGCCAGTAACCAACTCAATGCTGATGGATTTCTCAAAATCCACAATCCGCATTCGACCGTGTGACTCTATTTAGCTCGAACTATTCGTATGGGTTGGGTAGTCGACTCATTACTTGAACCCTCTATAAAAGTTAGGGTTTCAATAGAGGTGAAAGAATGATTCCATGATATAAAGAGCATCACGTGCGACTACAAATAAGAGATGGGAAGGGAAACTTTGCAAGCAGAGGTCTGGAGTCTGGACATCCAAGTAGGCGATCTTTGGCAAAATGTTTCAGTTTATGATAGCTGTTTCATTTAGTGATAATGGTGATGACTGCATTCAGTTTGTGTAAGTGTGTCCCAGTTCCATTAAGAGTATGGATATTACACACAGAAGTAATAATGACATCTCAACGGACATTCGCAATCGAAGGAGTGTGCAGTTGCAACAAGGTTAACTCGTGATCTTACAACAAACTGCAGGAAAACAACCTGAAGTGGGGCAAGTTTACACAATGGAGCTGATCCAAAATGGTCAGATTACTTCAGAAGCATCAGGAACGAGTGTAATGTGGCGTTGCATTAGTAGATAGACGAGGGACAACAACTGGTCCACCACGAACTCTGTCAAGAGCAAAGCTTATTCTCAATGGTCGACCCAGCAGTGCCTGCCAAACAATCAAACCCAAAAAATTTTCTCTCACTTTTAAGATCAGTGAAGCAAATGGAAGAAGGGAAGAGTAGAACAAGTAGAAGACAATCAAGAGGCAATGTATGTTCCTTTTTCCTCACCTTCCCATCCATGGCGTCCTTGGCACTGCTGGCCTCATCTTCTTTAGTGAAACTCACAAACCCAAACCCTCTTGATCTTCCGCTGTCTCTGTCATACGCAATCCTCACTGAAAATCATGACAGATGCTCCTTGAATACAGAGGAAATTGGGCAGGCAATTCACAACGACAACAACAACAACAAAATAATCGCTAGACCACCGAGCCAGAAGCAGGCTCGTTGAGGCATTTCGTCGAACAGTTGGATGAGTAACAAAGGAAGACACAAAGCTGCAGGTGATAATCACGGAAAAAACACGGACTTGATCAAATGGGTATCATCAGAAAATACCTTCTGTTACCTCGCCGAAAGAGGAGAAAGCGTCTTGCAATGATTTCTCGTTCACCGACCATGACAGACCTGGCGATTGAATACCATACCAGAGTCCCCCATTACCCAAGAAGAACACCAAATCTTTAGGACATTAAAATTAACGTTAGGGAAGAGAAGGTAAACCTGCAACGAATAGTTTACTGTTGGGACCAGGTGGAGAGTCGGGGCTATGAACTGTTGCGAAAGCTCTTCCAGCAATGGAGGACAGAGTTCTCCGCATCGTAGTCGAATCAAGATGGTAGCGGTTCTTTCTTCCAACAATGCAGGTCAGAGGAAATTTCAGGTCAGGGATTCAGCCGTTTTTGGGTCGGGCTGGCGCTATTTGGGCTTTCAAATTATTGGGCTTATCGAGAGCCGGGTCGAGTTTGAGAAATGACCCTCTTATCTGTCTCTATAGAATTTCAGTCTTCACGCCTCTCCACCGGGGAAGTGAAAGACAGGAAGGAGGGGTTGGACGGTTGGTGGCGGCTGCCGTCGGAGCTCTGCTGCAGAAGACGACGGTGGAGAGTAAAGGTCTGTAGTCTGTGCTCTATAGCGTATTGACGTGTGGGTTATACTTATAGATACTGAATTGTAATTGTGTGTGGTCCTTGCTTGTCTATTTTGGATTCTGTAGGTACTTTTTGACTGTAAGTAGCGATCAATCGAAAAACAAAACCCTTTCTGTCTCCTTCTTCTTCTTCTTCTGGTTCTGGAATCGACTACGCTAGTGATCAATTTACCTCCTCGGCCAAGTTTTGTGTCAAAGGTCAGTTCTTTCATCTACCTTCTACCTCGCTAAACCTTAGAAGCTAGATGGTTTTCCCCCGCTGCAGTTTTACTTGAACCCTTTTCCTCTTCTTTGAGATACCCAATCAAGCATTCGATGTTTACGCTTTGTTTTGGAACCAGCAGATTTAAATTGTGCAGTCTGAGGATTGAATTGTCTTATTTGTCAAAAATCCTATTGATTGCCCAGATTTTGTGGTCTCTAGTCGGTTCATGGTTATAAGGGGGATGGATGATAGGAGTTGCTATAGAATCATTGCTTTCTGAACGGGTTCAAGCATAAGGATCCCAATGAGTTCTAAGACAGTGTTCATAATCTATATAACTGTGGTTGCTTTTTGAGTGCCTGAAGATGATGTGGTTTGGGTGGGTTGATATCTGTGGAGTGTGTGTTGCTCGACGGCTGACTTATTGTTGTGGTCAGGGTGTCCTCATTTATGTTTGGTTATCTACTATCTGTAGTTTGTTAAACTTGAACAATGGTAGAAACTGCAGCTTCTGATGAGATGGGTATATTTATATTTAGTATAGGAAATGGAGTTCCTTGGGTCCAATTCTGTTCATTTTTGCATAGGATGGTTATTGATTCGCACTTTGCCATGGCCCGTTTGGTTCGTCAAAAACTCAAAATGCTGCATATTCGTAAGTGATGCAAATTTGCCGAAATGTTAGGATTGGCTACTTCGGGCTTTTGCTTTTCCAGTCTCTCTCTGAATCTATTGGCAACAAGTTGCAGCAACTTTCTTGGGCTTAAGAGTGTGCAGCCAATCTCTCAGATAGCTAGATGTTTAGGATGGGGTACATTTGCAGTAGGCTTGTGGTGTGATGATAAAGGCTTGATTGTATTTCAAACTTGTGTTTATGTAGGAAAACTAAATTGGATAAGGCCGTTAGTGTCTGACGAATCCTCTTGAGTGATTGATTGAGTGAATGAATTGGTTATGTCTTTATTATTGAAACATGACATTATTATATAATAACCTTCATGTTTGCTTTCAGAAGTGAAAAAAGAAAGGAAACATAAAGGAGATGAATGGTTTCAAGGCCTTCAAAGCCCAAGTCCCAATCGCATGGAGTCCTCGGCTATTCATAACTCTGGTGAGAGGGATTCCCGGGACCAGGAGACTCCATAGGCGCACCCTGGAGGCATTGAATCTCACTAAGTGCAACCGAACTGTAACACGGGCCAATTGTTCTTCCATTAGAGGAATGCTCAACCAGGTAATGCCGTCACCATAAATTATTCTAGCTCCCCATATCTAAACTTAATTCTTTAGTCATGGTTTCTGTTCTCTGGGTCCAGGTAAAGAGGCTGATTGTGATTGAAACCGAGGAGATGTACAATGCTCGTAAGCAGAATCTCGCTAACCACAAAGCTGTTCGCCCTCCGGTGGTTGTCGGGCACTCCCCTTCAATCGCTGCAAGTAGCTCTTCTTCATAGACCCTTTTGTATCACGTTCTTGCAATGTTCTTTAGATGTCAGCTCTAGTTTTGTTCGAGACGGCATGGGTTGTTGCTTAGTCCTCTTCCAAAGTTGTACCAGCTATGCAAATGCCATGTAACTTTTTTCGAATTTCACATACAAAAGAAAAAAGATTGGCAGGCAGGGAAAATAATTGGTTCAACATGGGAATACATCGCAAGACCATTGGTACAAGGTTTGCAAAATAGTTAAATACACATATGAACTAAGCCTAACTTTTGCCTGGGATTGCTAACACTAAAATGCCTGCCATTTTATTATAAGCTCTCCCCTTTCTATTCCACCTCGAGCATTGAAACTCTCGGTTACCTACTTTCTTTCATCGCTTCATTCATCTCAGAATAACCACTTTTTGTGATCTACAAAATTATAACTATTTTCAATACATTTCGAGGATTTTTTTTTATACCACCAATATTACTCGTTACCACCTTGGTACCCAGGGGCATAGTTAGAGACTTAGAGTATAATAGGGGTGCCAGATTTGGAGAAACACAAGATATTAGTAGTATTAGTTAGTTAATGATGATATTTAAATTGTAAATTTCAGTGTCAATCGTCAAATCTTCTACCGTTAAATCACAACAAACTAATAAATTAATTTCATCTACTAATTTTTAAAATTAGGGGTCGTTTGCTTGTGGATTTAAAAATGACGGTTTTGTAATTTAAAAACCCAAGCATTTATCAAAGATTTGAGGCATAATGGATTTGCAACAATCCTTTGTTTGTTGAGATGTTTTATCATGGATTTAAGAGTTTGTGATTTAGAACCTAAAGTTCAAAATTATCATACTATTCTTTTCTATTTGTTTGTCATGTTTATGATATGTACACAAAATAAGGACAAATACATACTAATAAGCATAATGTTGCCACAATGACAATAATAATAAACGGCAAAATTTCGATTAACATTTAGCGTAACATATATCGGTCAAAGGAAACTAAAACACAAGAAATGGTATAAAAATTCTAACTCATGTTTCCACATTAATTGAATATTTATATTATTTCTTTGTTGTTAATTAATTGATTATTTATAATTCACAATAGGTAAATGTGAGGCAACCTTGGAATTTTAAAAGTTCATGAGGGTATATGATGAGGGTATATGGGTAAAATACCATCATGGATTTATAATATGTGGGATTTACAAGTCTGTGGATAGGGCTGGGAAAGTAGACCAGACCGTTTGAAAAATCATGGTCTAAACCGGACCACACAGTTTGGTCCGGACCGTAGACCGTTAAGTATGGTCTGGTCTGATCCATGGTCTGTATTATATGATGTTTTGATTTATTGGTAGGTCTGGTCTAGACCGTGGTTTACCGGACCAAACCGTGGACCCAGCAAACTTCTCAATATGTGTTAGCAACCCACTAGACCACTCTTCCAACTCCCACAACGATGCCCAAGTCTCAATATTAATTTTGAGAATCTCGTCTCCTCCTTCATTCACAATCACATTTCACTAGAGAGTAGAGACAATCATGTCTCCATATGACATTATGTAAATGTTTATGACGTTATGGTGCAAGTTGGGATGTTTTGACTTTGTATCTTTATTATTTATTTATGGTGTCAAAATTATCCATGCATATAGAAATTTAAGTTTTAAGGAAACAAAACATTTTTTTCTTTGTGCGGTTGACTAATTAAATTGTTCATTTTTCGTTCACTATGGTCTATCTAGACCAAATCGTACCAGACTAGACCGCACAGGCGTAGTCTGGTCTGGACCGTATAGTACGTGGTCTGGTTTGTGGTCTATACTCTAACCTCTCAGTCTGGACCGTATACCGCATATATGGTCCGGTCTGGACCAGACCGTACTGTTTCCTAGCCCTATCCGTGGGGTCCACAGATTTGGACCCTTCAAATCCGTGGCCCCCATAGATTTGGTCCCTAAAAAAGATGCAAGCAAATGATGGATTTTCCTTAAATCCATGGTGGAATGGATTTTGGTATCAAATTCATCATCCAAATCCATGAAGCAAACAACCCCATAGTTTCTATCAATGTATTTGCTTGTGAAAATAGATTTGAATTGCTACTATCATCTGTCAATGCACAAGTTGATAACATTTTATGCTATGAAACAATTGTTCAGCCTTCGCATCTAGTGAACTAAAGTTGTGAATGGTTATTCGGTGGGATATATTAAGTGTGAAATCTTGATAGTAGGCTGATTCATATAGTTATAGAATAATTTCACAATATAAAACACGATGCCGCATTTGTAATTTTTTTATGACACTCCCTTGAATAAAATCATGGCTATGCCACTGTTGGTACCACCTTCGTTTTTAGTTTGAATTTTGAAAAATTTTGCCCAAAAGAAAAGAGTTTGTGTGATCTATTAGATCTACATATTTTTTGGAGAAAAAAATTTCATGACAAGAAGTATCACCCTATACCACTGTGATACAGAGTGGTACCTGGTGGTATACGTTGATGAAAAGTGATAAATTACGGTTAATACATTTATGCTATCATGTACGCAATCATTTTATACGGTGGTGGTTCATGCCGCCATGATACACTTTCATACCAGATTATATAATCTTATGTACATACAAAGTAGTACCACATGGTATGGACTGGCAATAAAACTCTCAATTTTTTTTCCAGAAAATATATCAAAGTGGATGTTATTTTGAAGAGCACTAACACAAGTCAAGTTGGGTACACCCATATGGGTACATAATAAGGACTGGTCGATCCATTTTTGTATGTTATCTAAAGAAAAGGACAATGATATATTTTTATTTTATAAGAAGGGTATAGAGGAAATACTTCATAAATAATTAGATACATAGTAGAAATAGTAATTGAGTCTAAATAGTTGAAAGATGGAGTCTTAAAATTCTATGGGTTGAAAATATTATTTAGAAATGTTTAAAAAGGAGAAATACAAGTAGATATTAATGCAAATTATGATAGAACATGTCGAGAATCAGGGGTGGGGACAGGACGAGACAAGTCGGAATTAGTACTCATGTCCCGCTACACGATACTACAAATCAGGTAATACACGTCCCAAACATGCCGGAGTAGATCGTAACGGTTAAGTCAGATCAGAAATTTTCATCACTATAGAACAGGTGCTAGACAAACATGCTCTAAATAGAACTGATCCTTTTGTATAGTGTGGTCATTCTACTTCCCCTTCAAATTTGTTTTTTTTTCAAGCAACCTTGCGGCCAAATGGATGACTAGTAGAATTATCAAATCAGTTATAATACTCGTTCAGTTTATTTGTTTGGATGGCTCAGGATGGTCCAAATTCTTTTTAATGGATGAAAATGAAACTAGATGAACCACCTCAGTTTGACTGATCAAATGGTTCACTATTTTAATCACAAAAATTAAGAAAAATTCCTTTAATTTAAACTAAGACCATAAGCCTGAAATACTGATTTTATTTATGCTTCATCTTTTCGTTCTCCAACTTCTTTGTCAGGTCCACTATCAATTGGGGATGAGATACTGTCACAACCCACTTTGTAGCCATTGGATACAATCTCTCTCCTGTCATTTTTTTTTAATCGATGGTTAAGATTACACGAAGGTTATTTTTGGAATGGAAAAAACTAACCACATAGAATTGCTACCACTATTATTTTCCATATCATTTCCCTTTCTCTAAAAACGATCCCCCTCTCTTTGCCGCCACCAACACCAGTTCTTCTTCTTCTTCTTCATCTCCATCCACCCCAGACGTCGGCGCCACCACCATCCAACCCTCCCGCCGCCCTCTGCCGCCGCCACCGCCTCCCAACACCATCACCAACGTCGCCTCTCCCTTCCCCCTTCCCTTGTTCCTCCGCCTCCTACCACCTCCTGTCTTCACGCCGCCACCACCGCCGCGAGGTAACCGCCTCTCCTCTGCCTTCCCCTTCCCTCATCCCTTGATTTTTTTTCCAGATTCCATATTTGTTTGTTTTTGTTTTAGTCTCTAGTGGTACGCTATCACTACCAGGTACTAGATGATAGTGGTACGCTTCCACTACCAGCTACCAGATGGTAGTGGCAGCGTTGTACTGGTAGTGTTACCAGTGATAATGGTAGCGTACCACTAGCCACTAACGGAGTGATAATTTTTTGCAGGTGCCTGAAGCAATTCTGATTTAAAGGATTTCGCCGAAAAAAGTCTGTTGGTCGGAAAGTCAGCCGGTCGGCGTGGAGTGGCTGCGGGAAAATGAAGAGAGAGATAGGAAGAGAGAGAAATGTATTTATTGTTGGATTTAAATTATAAAAAGCAGGTATTTAATATGAGTTTTAATTCAAAATATGTAATTAATACAAAAAATTAATTAATAAATTCTTTTTTTTGTCATACCCAAAATGCCATTGGTTGTAAATCTCACAACCCCTCAGGGGGAGTGACCATATCCCGCTCCCTATCAATTGTTACCCTAATTACTAACTTGAATTTAATAATTCTTTATGTTTTCTTTTATGAGACTGTTTGAATAATTTGTTAGAACTTTTGGTGTTAGATGATTTGGATTTGGAATTGTTTATAGTTAATGATAAATTCAATAATAAATTAGTTCAATTACTATATATGCCGTAATGTTATAAAACATGAACCATTCCTTTAAAGGTTAATCAATAATTCTATAGTGATTAACCGTTAAATTATAAAACCACTGGTTTTTCTAGTTCATCGATCCAATTTTGAAAACAGATCGTCTACCACACTCCATTACTCCAAAACTTCATCGTATTTGTTGTCCCTTTTCCGATTACCGTGATTAGTTCCGCAATTAATCATGATAAATTATAATTATAATCAAATAATCCTAATTTTAACTACGCTCTCTCTTACTTTTCCCGTCGGTTACTGTATTTCCCCTATATAAGTTAAACAACCCTAATTAATTAATTTAAGAAAAACCCTAAACCAATCCTAGTGCTAGAGCGGCCGATGAGAAAACCTCCAGAGCGGCAGATCCCACCATCCTTCTTCTTCCAGCGCGCAAACACCAACGTCACCAATGAACTAAAATAGAGACCGAGAGGAGGACATGACGTAGGCTGGTGGTGGTGCTGTAGCCTTCG